TTTTAAAGGAAAAAACTTACCAAAAAGTGAAAGTGCAGCAAACTTTTAATTACATCCAAAAAAGAAAAGTGTATCAAACTTTAAAATATATGCTTTTTAATCGAGTTGGTCTAAGTTTTTTGAATTGGTAAGACCTAGAATGGCTAATCGAGTTGGTCTAAGTTTTTTTAAATGGTAAGACCTAGAATGGCGTACTAAAAAACGAAAGTAAAAATTTATTTTAGGAAGCTCAACAAATGTTGGAAGTTTTTTCTTCTAGTGAAATTTAGTTGAACAAATTTACACACGGAGTGAGTTTCAGCCCACATTACTCCATGCCCCCAACCCCCCTCTCCCAGACCCCCTAGAGTATAAAAAACACACAAAAAAAATTACACATGCTTTTAAAGAGAGATGTAGTCCTTGTATTTTTCGTAATAGCATATTGGAGTACGGTGGGTTGAATTTGGAAAAAGATTTTTTTTATCTCCAACTGAATGATATATTACTTCACCAAATCATGTTCCAGAAGGCTTACAATAGTGTCAGGGATAACATCATAACAACAGGACTGATCTGGGATAGACACATGTGCTCTTGCTAACGCATGGGCAACACGATTCGCAGATCGCTTACAAAAAAGAGACAATAAAATTACTCTTATCTTTCAACATATTTCTAATATCATCATGAATATGGAAAAGGTAAGAAGATTCTCCCCCATTTCTGAGACCCTGGACCACCAAGAGAGCATCGGTCTCAATCTCTACATGTGACCATCATGCTTCGGCCGCCCCCATCAAAGCATCACGAACGCCCATCGCCTCAATTTCCATTACCGACCAGCTAGCTAGTTCTGAGACCCCTTTCACCTTTAGAAAGTTACCATGGTGGTCTCGTGCAACCCACCCCCAGGCCCGAATATTTTTATTTTCGTCCACCGCCCCATCCACATTTATCTTAACACATAGCCATCCCGCAGTCGTTTCCAAACTGTCAAGGAATTAGTTTCTTTCCTTACCTGCTCTGTTCGTCCAGTGCCTTGCGCATCTCTCCAGCTCGATATTATTCCTGCCGCCGCATTGATTACCCTCACAGCCCCTTGCCATCTATCCTTCCAGACACATACATTCCTCCTCTTCCTTAGGCTCCACAAAATAGCAGCAAATTTGCATCGATCTTCCCCATTCGGTCCACCTAGGTGCTGCCAAATCCATGTATTCACAGGGTCCGCTGGGCTGCCCAAATCAACACATACCTCCTTAGCTCCTTCACATAACCGAAATGCATGATATGTCGTTTCGCTATCATCTCCGCACACTTTACACCCTTCAAAAACCTGCACTCCTTTGTTCCTTAAATTATCAACTGTAGGGAGAGAGCCATCAATGACCTGCCCAGCAAAATATTTAAGCTTCGGTGGGATATGCAAATCCCATAGCCGAGCCCAGTTAGTTCCATCCTCGGTCTGCAATTATCTTGTAAGTAAGCGGTAGAAGCTCTTCACAGAAAAATACCGCTATTGTCCCCATTCCACCAATACCCATCCTTCCTGTCATAAGAACTAATAGGGATGCTCAAAATCTTCCCCCTATCTTCTGCATTAAAAATATTAGTAATTCTCTCTCTGTTCCACTTTTTCCCTGTGATATCACGCAGGGCTGCAACATTCATGTCTCTAATTCCTGTCGATCCGGCAGATGTAACCCGTCCCGCCCCATCTCCAGGGACCCGAGCATCGGACCACACTTGGACATCGATCCCATTTCCAACTCTCCTTCGGGTACTATTTTTAGAATATTTTGTGTCTCGAAAAAACTACGCCAAATGAAAGAGGGGTTATTCCCAACCTGAGCATGCAAAAAATCCGAGTTCGGAAAATACCTGGCCTTCAGTACTCTGCACATCAGACTGGATGGCTCGGTCACAAGCTTCCAACCCTGCTTAGCTAACATTGCCAGATTAAAATCTCTTATTCTCAGAAAGCTTAGACCCCCCAAATTTCTCGATTTACAGAGGGTCTCCCATCTTCTCCACCTCAGCCCCTTCTGCTCAAATTTAGTGCCCCTCCATCAAAAGTCATTCATTAATTTCTCAATTTCATCACACAAATCATCCGGCAGCAGAAAAACATTCCTAGCATAGTTAGGCATAGCCTCAATCACATTTTTTAGCAGAACCGATCTACCTGCCTTGGATAAGAACCTATTATTCCGGCTCTTAATTTTGTTAAAAATTTTGTCTTTTAAGTAGCCTAGGATAGAAGATTTATTCTTACATATAAGAGTTGGTAGACCGAGATACCTGCTTTGACCCCCTACCATCGAAATCCCAAAAATGCTGCAGCAGGTTCCTTTAAATTGCTCCCCAACATTCTGGCTAAAAGGCAAAGAAGACTTCATATAATTTACTGTATGTCCTCAATTCTCCTCATAAACAGATAAAATATTTTTAACAACCCACGCCTCCTCACCAGTAGCTCTAAAAAAAAGAAAACTGTCATCAGCAAATAAAAGATGTGAGATCCGAGGTGCCCCCTACAGACCACCACCCCGTGAATGTGGCCCCGTGCCTTCGCCTTCTTCAGTAAAGCGCTCAGACCTTCCGCCACCATAATAAAAAGATATGGAGACAAGGGGTCCCCTTGTCTTAAGCCGCAGCTAGGAGTACTCGGTCCCAAAAAATCCCAATCAAATTGTACATAGCTGACAGTCGCAACACATTCCATAACCATATCCACCCATCTCACAGCAAAGCCCATGTGTATCATAATCACAAGTAAAATGTCTCATCCCACTCTATCATAAACTTTGCTCATATCCGGCTTCAAGGCAACATACCCCTCTTTGCCATTACATTTTCTTTTAAAAAAATGTTGAGTCTCAAACGCCACAACTACATTATCCACAATAGACCGGCCTGGAACAAAAGCACTTTGATTTTCTCCAATAAGGTTTCCCAACAAAACTTTTAATCCATTGGCTAAAACCTTAGAGAAAATTTTATAAACTACGTTACATAACACAATAGGCCTCCAATCCCCCATATCTTAAGGCTTATCTTTTTTAGGAATTAAAACAAGATTTGTCACATTAAGTTCTCTCGGAATAATTCCTGAGCTAAAAAATTTGAGCAAAGCCTAGATATTTCCGGTCCAACAATATCTCAGTATTTTTGAAAAAAGGCAGGATTCATACCATCCGATCCCGGGGCTTTCTCTGGATGCATATAAAAAATAGCTGATCTCACTTCCTCGGGACTTATATCTTGAAGTAGAAGTCGGTTTTGCTCTGCTGTGATCTGGCCGAAACTCCCAAAATAGTCTGCCACCTCTGTGCTATCACCACGAGTGAATAATTGTTCGATGTAATCTCGAACCATATCCCCCACCTGATCTCCATCAGTACACCACATACCATCTGTTCTCTTTATCCCAATCAATTTATTCTTTCGCCGTCTGTTCTTAACCGCATTATGGAAAAAGCGGGAGTTAATATCCCCCTCTTTTAGCCAAAATCCTTTGCCTATGTTTCCAGAACAGGTTCTCCTTCTCCATTAAAGAATAGTGTAGAACGAACCCATAAAAATTCACTCGTGCTATTCCAATTATCTCTACCCCGTAGCCATGCCAGTCGCCTTTTGCATGCCTGAATCTGCTGTCTGAACTTTTTCTTTCTAAGCCATCCCATCTCAGGAGTTCAGATCCACATAAAAGAATTCTCTCACTGACCGAGAGATGAGAGCTCGCGTTCCAGCTATTAGGTGCCACCGTACGACACTCCTCCTCCTTCAACCAGTTATTTTCAAACTTAAAAATTTTTACTTTCCGGGTCATAACTGCAGGAATAACTTTCACCCATAAAGCCATGTGGTCACTCATTGGGGCTTCCATCGAGAATGCATGTGCCGCCGTATACTTGCTCCACCAGTCATCATTAACAAATATTATTTCAAATTTTTCCTCCACATGGTAGCTTGTGCCTGTACCCCCGTTCCCAGGTCCACTGATATCCATCAAAAGGGAAATCCCTCAATCCACATGATGCCACCGCCTCCCTGAAACCTCTGAGTTGCCAGGGTGGGTGGGGAATATTTCCCTTCTTTTCAGAATCATATAAAATATCATTGAAATCGCCTAAAATCATCCATGGCAGGTTATTATTCTAACCTAATCCTTTCATAATATTCCATGCTTCTCTTCTGCGCACAGTTTTTGGAAATCCATAGAAAAGGGTGAGTCTCCATACCTGATTATTTGGAGCTAGTGTGACAGTAGTGTCAATAACATTAGTATGACACTGGACAACATTTAGCTCTAAATCTTCATTCCACCCGATCATCAGTCCACCGCTTAGCCCCGCACTGTCCACACCAACACACTGGGAGAAACCATGTGTCTGCAGCAGATCCTTTGCTTGTTGACACCAGATTTTTGTCTCCATAAGGAAGATCACGGACGAACGATGAACTTGAACTATATTCGCCAAACATTGTATTGTTGCCGGATTTCCAAGCCCACGAGAGTTCCAGTTGATAACACTCATCGGAAAAACACTGCCGGACCTAGCGAACAATCATCACCGCCGAAAAAAGAAAAAAGGCTAGGATAAACCTAGAACCACGTCCATGCTCGGAGACGAACTCGCCCCAGAATTCACCCGCAGACCAAATGGCCTCCTGTTGAACGAAACACCTCAGTTTCCATCCCTATGATCTCTGCTTCGACCACTGAAAACCCCCAAAGTCGAATCCGCCGCCAGAGATGCCAGGTCACAACGTCGCACGACCAGGGCTCAATTACGAACGCCGAGTGCCACCCGACGACCTCCACACATCGAACGCCTCACGTCGCGCACCTTCCGTCGAGCACCGCCGTAGGGTTTTAGTCCTTCTAGTTTAATTATGGTCTTGATGAGGAATTATTTTGGCTTACTTGATGAGGATTTGTTATTATTTGGAAAAAGAAATTAATTAATTAATTAATTAAAAAATGTTCAAAAAGTGCTTTCCTTTTGCACTGTTTTAGTTGACCAAATTGAACGGCTGGGGTTGAGTGAAAAAGAAATACGATCCCGTTGAAGCAGGGCAGCAGGAAAAACAGCTCGAAAAGAGAAAGCAATGTTGATAGCACCGGCGGGTTTAATCCCAATTTCGTCATCGATTTCTTCGGCAAATCACTGTCCTCGTTTCAGATTCTCCTCTTCCAAGCAATATATTCCCTTTCTTGTCAGTAAGTGCTTCAATTACAGTTCTTCTTCTCAAGTACGGTCGTCGCCCTTAATTTCAAATCCGTACCCACAACTCTTCAACGTTAACTGTCCTCTTTGTTTTCCAGAAAGTTCATAATTCTGTAGCTGGGATGATAGATATATTGATACCAATTTGACAATGCTAGCAGTTCGCCTTTTTAGTCGCTTAAGAAGTCTTCACGTGGAATTGTGGAGAATTAGAGATCATTAATTATAAGGTAGAAACGAGAGAAAATATAAAGGGGACGATGAAAAAGGGAGAGTGTTTACGCGGATGAAAATTATTATTATTAATGGAAAGCGATACAAGACTTATTTCATTATTTTGTTCCCTTTTGCTCTCATGTCTTTTATTTCTATACCCTGCAATTTTTTCTTAATATCCGTGAAAATACAAGTAAACATAATAATAGAAAATAAAGAATTTGTAAAGCAATCATTTACTCCCTAATGACTTTTGGCTCACTTACATTGACAGATTCAACCATAATTAGCTTCATCTCCTCATCAGTTTATTTGAATGTGTATGAGATTTTGGCATATTCTTGAAAAGATTGCAGTTTTCGCGGTGAAACCATCTGATCATGTTCAGAGTGGTCAGCTGCCCAGCTTAAAATAATGTCGAATGGAAACAAATTTGATATTTTTTCCCCTCTCAGAGCAAGTGGTCTTGTGACTTAAAATTCACACATTGGAAGCCTATAGATTCAGTTAGTTGTGGTTTGTTACAGCTGCAGGAATGATGAGAGATGATCCAATTCGTGAGTGGATACTCTCAGAAGGCAATGCAACAAAGATTAAAGGAGTGAGGTCAATTGGTGGTGGGTGCATCAACGATGCTAGCTGCTATGACACTGATGCTGGTCCCTTCTTTGTAAAATCAAACAGGTTTTTTCTTATGTAGTACCGAGTACGCCGTATCATATTTCCTTAAGTAGTAGTAATGGCACAAACAAGTCAAGCCTGTCCTGAGCTTCTAGGTCAAACTTGACTCAGGTCAGGTCAAGTTCAAACTCAGCCCCAACTTGAATATACATTTATACTTGGCTCATGACTTGCAAACAAGCTCATGTGCCATTTATACTTCTTTTGTTCTGATGTAGACATGTAGTAGTAACAGTTTGAGACATTAACACACAACTTTGATGACTAGTGTAGTTAATTTGTTATGAGTAAAATTCCATTAAAAAATATTTGAAAATTTACATTGCCACAATATATTATATAAAATAATTACGAGTAAAATATTAACATTATACGAAGTACATAGTATAACATAAAATAATTTGTAGTGCATTAATAAAGAAACGTGATCAAACTAGATTACTAGAGTATGTGATAGTACAAAAGTTAAACCCTTTCAAGTTATAGCGGAAGTAGTAATTTGTAGTGCATTAATAAACAAAATGTGATCAATCTCGAGCCAAAATTATTAAACTTGTTTAAGCTCGACACACTACCAATATTCAGAGCTCGAACTCAAGCATACCCAAGTTTGAGCTCAGAATGGCTCATTTGCTCTCCAAATTAGTAGGATGGGATGGAGTCATGTAATTGAGTTTGGAAGGAAACCAATTAGATGCCTCCATCGTGACCAGCTTGAGCACTAACATGCGTAGTGGTCACAGGAGCTTTGGACCATCAATGTTTGAGGGAGAGGCTGTGGGCTTAAATGCCATGCTAGAGACCCGCTCAATTCGGGTCCCTAAACCGTATAAGGTTAGGAATAATAGCTGGTCTTCGGTTCTCACCTATTTGAGTCTTTGAGGAGAATGTGGAATTTTTGCTCATTTGATTCGTAAGGAGGTTGTATTGTGTATTGAGATAGGTTGGGTCTCTTCCAACCGGTGGTTCATACTTCATAATGGAATTTATCGAGTTTGGTGCATCTAAACGTGATCAGGTGTGGATCTATATAGTGTTGTATCTGCTCCTTAATTATTATTTTTTATATTTTCGATCAGTTAACATCCATCCTTTGGCACTCTTCAAGTCTACATTAGGAAGGAAACTGGCTGAAATGCATAAATCATCCATGTCTGAGATGGGTTTTGGTTTTCATGTTGATAATACTATTGGAAGGTATCATTTAGAAATTAGAATGCACCGGCTATCTAAACCATCTTCTCTTCAAGAGACAAAAAGCACAGTAATATACTTATATGCTTGCTCATAAAAAACTTGTCTATCAATTATTCAAAAAAGGAATAATACATATTATGATGCTTGTTGTAACGTGGTATTACATCTACCTCCCCTGTGATTTTGTTAAATAACAAAGCAATTCTTAACGCTTTTTAAAATTTCAAATACACCCCTTGGTAAATAAAATTTTATGATTTTAGTAGGAATTGCGTGTTTTCATTCTAAATAACTCTTGACATTTGTGCCATTTATTTGTCAAGAAAAAAGCACCTTGGACATTTTTAATCAAAGATATGCAATTCCAAACTAAATTAGTCTGAAACACTTGATTCCTTCTAGCATCATACATGCATATGTAGTATAAATTCAGGGTAAAAGATGCCATTGAAGAAAATTGACTATCCATTTTTTTAATTTATAAGATCTCCAGGGACCATTTGTAAATTGATCAAATCCCAAGGGGAGGTAAATGTAACCACCGTAACTCAAAATTACAATTGAGACTTCATCTGTTGTATTGAATTTATTTTACAGTACCCCACAGATAAACAATTGGACACAAGATTGGATAGACTTCTATGCAGAGCATAGATTGGTTTACCAGCTACGGTTAGCTCGTGAACATTATGCAGACTCAACAATTTACCAGAAAGGTTTTAATCTGTTTTCTTTCTCCTGTTTTCATTCTCCCAAATCCACAGTATGTGTGATAGAGTGCTACTGGGTCCTTGTTATTTATATGGATTTGTTTACTCTCAAGGACAAAAGCTGGCAAGGAATCTAAGGCTTCTTTTCCAGAATGTTGTAATAGAGCCATGCTTACTTCATGGAGATTTATGGAGCGGCAATATCGCCTATGACAAGAATGGGGAACCAGTGATTCTTGACCCAGCATGCTATTGTGAGTTCTTGATTCTTGACCTTCCTACTGTAGCCCTATATCACTTTTGGATTAATAGTCCTGAATGTCTGTTAGTGAAAGATCAACTTTGGAATGACCAAAAAATGTACTACGTATATCTTTTAGAAGAAAATAAGTTAGCCAACACGCTACTTGGCCACCATTTAAAGAAATAGTGGAAACAGGTATTGCTTTGATTTAACATTTGAGCTTACATAAAAAGGAAAAACAAACATTTTGTTGTAGCAAATCACTGTTGCTTCCTATAGCTGTTTTAACCTCATAATATCACCAATAATTCTTGTCTTTTAGATGGACATAATGAGGCAGAGTTTGGAATGTCGTGGTGTGCTGGATTTGGAGCCGCTTTTTACAATGCCTACTTTGAGGTACCCTTGCACTTTTTATGCCATCTTTATTCTTTAAAGTTTAGAACATAAACTGAAAATCATAATTGCACAATGGACGGCCATGTTGTTGGGGTGCAACTCAAGTCTCAGATTGGAAAAATAAGGGAGAATCACATTGAATATAAGTGTGTGTTTACTCCATTAGAAAGAGGCCCTTTGGTAGATGCCACAAACAAATCCATTAGGGCTTGGTCCTACGCGAAATATCATACTGATGTAAACTTAAGGTGTCATTGGCGGTCTTAATCCATACTTTTTTGAACTCCATCTTCTAGAGTTCTTCAAAACTAAGTTATTGGTGATAAAATTTTCAAAGGCTCAGTATTATCTCTCTCTTTACCAGTTTTGTTTTTACTATCAGTATTTTACCATGTATCTTGTCTTTGGCAGTAGCTTTTTCTTCATCTCCCTTTGATATGACTTCTTCCTTTGTATATCAGGTCATGCATAAACAGCCTGGTTTTGAGGAAAGGAAGGATCTTTATATGTTGTATCATTACTTGAATCACTATAACATGTTTGGTTCTGGATACCGGTCGTCTGCCATGTCCATAATAGATGATTATCTCCACATGCTAAACTTATAGTCTGTCAACATTTTCTTGTATATAAGGAGGCGACGTTTTGTATTGCGAAATCATAATCTAATTCAGTAGTACTTACCTTTCTGATGTATTCAATTTATAATATGGCTGTTCATATCAATAATGCATGTATGATCAATCATCAATTTGAATGGATTTAAGTCGAAATAGTACATAAATATGATTTCTATAGTTTTGAAAGATAAAATTGTGAGCATTTTTTTCTTAAATAAATTCAAATTTCTTCTCCCTCTAAGTCTCTAACTTTTACCCAACTGCACCTCACCCCAATTCCCACTTCGAAATCCGCCTTTCACTTGGTGCAGCACCATTGAGATGTTTTTTTGTAGACACCATCACACCAGAATAGTCCACGAGAAAAAAATGCTAGAAATTGAAAGTGACGGTCAGAGCGACAATGCTGGCAGGCTGGCAGTTACACCGGTTTCAATGGCAATGAGATAAAGAACAGTTTTTGATGTTTTAATTTTAGAGTAATGCTATTAGGGATGGACTCGGGCCGGGCCAACCGGCCCGGAACCGGACCGGCCCGCTACTGTGCGGGCCCGGACCGGCCCGGTCAACCGGTTCGGTTCCGGTTCGGGCCTCCAGGCCCGGTGGTATACCGGTCCGGGCCCGGGCCTCCAGTTTAGTGAACCGGCCCGGCCGGGCCGGGCCCGGTTCGAGCCGGAATTTATTTATTTTTTTTTTTTGAATTTTTTTTAAGTTTTGGGTTGGATTAGGTATTTTGGGCCATTTGAGGTGGTTTGGGGTGGTTTGGGGTGGAGGGGGAGGGGTAGGGGGTTAAATAAGAGAAGAAGAAGAAAAAAAAAAAAACATTCCGGGTGGCCCGGCCCGGCCCGATTCTGGCCCGGAACCGGAACCGGAACCGCCCACCACCGGTTCGGGCTCGGGCCTCCTTTTTCTGAACCGAGGCCCGGCCGGGCCCAGGCCCGAACCGGGCCCGAACCGGAACCGGTCCACCCCTAAATGCTATATGTAAACAGCATTGTACACACCACTACACATCATAAAAAGCCCACCCCCTCCCTTTTCTAACCCATTTAACCCCCTGCCCTCTCCTCTCTCTTCCATCCAAAAAAAAACACCAGCCCTCTCTTTTCTCTTTCCCCCAAAAGAAACCGATTTCATCTCTTACCCCCCTTCCCCGTCGAACTGCTTCAGGCGAGCCACTCCATCGCCGCCCCTCTCCATCGAAGTTCATCGGTAGTTCCACCCTCCCGTCCGGTGTGTGCGCAAAGTCCAGAAGTCAGCCGCCGGCACAATTTTCTTCTCCTCTGAGTCGCCATTCTTCACGCTGAAGTTGCTGGGTTTTGCCTCCGCCACCACTTCACACTTTACCGGAAATGGTTCGCACTTCATTGACGGAATTGGCTCAAAGGTAATTGTTTTTTAACCTTGTTTTGAGTTTATTTTGGAGTGAATTTTTGTTTGGAGTGAAACTATATTTTCTCTACTGTGATTTTTTAGTGTGTGTTCTTACATGTTTGTGGTTTTTCAGATGTCTGTGTAGTGTGTTGTTAAATGTTTTGTGATTTTAAGATGTCTGTGTAGTTAGTTCTTATATGTTTGTTCATATTAAAGTTGTCTGCATTTATTTATTTATTTTTGCTATTGTGCATTTTAGGCCTGTATTATTGCATCTGTTCAGATGTGTGTATGCCCAAGAATTTGTCAGTTGTGTGGCATTGTTCAGTTGTCTGTGTGACATTTTGAGATGTCTGAGTTTGTGAGAGTTGTCTGTTTCCTCTTATATGTGTCTCTATTTTATGGTGTTACTGAGATGTCTGTCTAGTGTGTGTCTTATTTTCCTGAGATGTTAGTCTAGTGTGTCTTATTTTCCTGAGATGTCTGTGTAGTTTGTTATATATGTTTGTGCTTCTTTTCATTTGTCTATATGGTGTTACTGAGATGTCTGTGTAGTGTGTGTCTTATTTTCCTGAGATGTCTGTGTAGTTTGTTATATATGTTTGTGGTTCTTTTCACTTGTCTATATGGTGTTACTGAGATGTCTGTCTAGTGTGTGTCTTATTTTCCTGAGATGTCTGTGTAGTTTGTTATATATGTTTGTGCTTCTTTTCACTTGTCTATATGGTGTTACTGAGATGTCTGTGTAGTGTGTATCTTATTTTTCTGAGATGTCTGTCTAGTTTGTAATATACGTTTGTGGTTTGTGTCAGTTGTGTATATTGTATTCCAGAGATGTCTGTAACAGATATTATATGTGTTTTTGGCAGGGGGGTGTGGAATGATGGTGCTCAGTTTTGCGGAGCACCTCATGTTGGAGCTCTTATTCATACCCGGTTGCGAGTACGAGAACATGGCGAAGAAGAGGCGTGAATTCGCCAATCGACTGTGGAACTTGAAGAATGATTTACAATGAAGAATTATGTCCAAGGGTGTAGATTTTTTTGTATATGTAATTAATATAAATACATTGGTGCCTACCTTTTTGTATGTAGAGAAATAAAAATGTCTGCGTGGAGCCATTTATTGTGTGTTCGTATATACAATTACAAATATGTTGCCATAATTATGTATTATTTCGTTGTGAGTTTTCTCAGCTGAATGGAACACATTATGAAGTTCATAGACTTGTTCGTATATGAACACATTTAACAACACACTACACAGACATCTGAAAAACCACAAACATGTAAGAACACACACTAAAAAATCACATTAGAGAAAATATAGTTTCACTCCAAACAAAAATTCACTCCAAAATAAACTCAAAACAAGGTTAAAAAACAATTACCTTTGAGCCAATTCCGTCAATGAAGTGCGAACCATTTCCGGTAAAGAGTGAAGTGGTGGCGGAGGCAAAACCCAGCAACTTCAGCGTGAAGAATGGCGACTCAGAGGAGAAGAAAATTGGGCCGGCGGCTGACTTCTGGACTTTGCGCACACACCGGACGGGAGGGTGGAACTACCGATGAACTTCGATGGAGAGGGGCGGCGATGGAGTGGCTCGCCTGAAGCAGTTCGACGGGGAAGGGGGGGTAAGAGATGGAATCGGTTTCTTTTGGGGGAAAGAGAAAAGAGAGGGCTGGTGTTTTTTTTGGGATGAAGGAGAGAGGAGAGGGCAGGGGGTTAAATGGGTTAGAAAAGGGAGGGGTGGACTTTTTATGATGTGTAGTGGTGTGTACAATGCTGTGTACACATAGCATTACTCTTAATTTTATTATCTTGCAAGTCGCTTTTTTGTCTATATGAGTAGTCAAAGTTATACTGACAAGTGTTAAAGTCCAACTGGAGTGGGTAAACAAGAACGGATGAATTAAATTTAGTCAAATTGTATCATAAAATACCCCCGAGTATATCATACAATTATACAAAAAAAGTCAAACGGGAGCATATATTATTTCCAAAATACAGTTGCTCAAAACTTGAAGATTCAAACGAGTATTCGATTTACTCTGGAAGAGTGGAAGTAATTGATTTTAAAAAAATCATTTTAAGTTTTTAACTTGACCAATACGCTCCTTCAAAAAAAAACTTGACCAATACGCCTTAACATAATTAGTTTAAATTAGAAGTTTAGAACAACAAAAAGTTATATCAAATTGGGTAGGTTTAAAACAGGAACTTGATCCTCTCTTGCTAGTAAGTAAAAAACTTTTGAAATTATTTATCAGTTAAGAGATCAACAATCTTTGGAACTCTTGTACTGTTTCTAAAATAGCTCCAGAATCCACAGATGTTGAGATTCATACTATGTATATGCGTATTCTTTTTTAGATGTGGTTTATTGACTGTGATTTCAATAACTTCAGTGTTTACTGTTACAAACAATAATCCCATAGTGTGCATTCTATTCTTTGACTATCAGGTTATGCAACCTTACAAAGTCTGCTAAAGCAAGCTCTTCAGGTCTTGACTGCAAAAGGAAGACAAGAACGCCATAGTTTCACATACATGAGCTGATTTTTAGGCTCCCATATAGCAGAAAACAGAAGCACAGAAGTAATGCATAAAAATTGATGGAGTGATGCTTACGGTAGGCAGAAGACCAATACCACTAAGAGCTTCTTCTATCTCACGGGAGGAGCAAATGTGCTGAAGTGATTTTCGCAACATCTTACGTTTTCCATTGAAAGCCGAGTTCACCTTACATGACACGAAAGGGGGACTAATTGATTAACTTTAATTTCCTTTTATAGTTTTGGGTTTTAAGCTATTATTAAACATTTTTGCGTATAACTGAAACTTTGAGCAGTAAAACAAACCATTGAAAAGAAGCTCTTGCAAGAAGACACTGGAGGATAATTCACAGCTTGCTTTAGCCTGAAGGAAACAACTGCCGCATCAACCTGTAGAAGTTAGAGACATTAGTTGGCCGAACTATGGGCAAATAGAACTTTATATATCATTACGCTCTTTAGCGTGTACGATACATGCTACATTGATTCTGTGATCCAGCTGTATAATAGTTCTAAAAGGTTTACAAAATAAAAATACTTACTTTAGGTTGGGGGAAAAAGGCTGTCTTTGGGACCTTGAATCTGTATTCAGGATCTGCATAAAATATACGAGCTTGCAAACTCAAGGAAATAATAAAAAAGTAAGAATAAAGAAGGAAAAGGTCTCTTTCGTTCAATGATTCGCATGTTGGTTTTAACAATATTCATTTGTAATAGAACGTGATTATAGAAATATCTCAATTCATCATTCATTCTCATCATATTGTCCACACATTATAATAGTTATTCTTCGTAAAGATATTGTGTCAAAAACGACATTCCAACTTTAAACTTACTACTATGTCTTTTGCACGAATCTATATGGAACTATATTCAGATAAATAACTGAAGGTATATATTTATGCCACCGACCCCAACTATTTGGGAGTGGAGTGATGATGAAAACTGAAAAGACTGAAAAGGATATGAATTCAAGAACCATAAAGCAATTTGATAAGACATCAACTTGCTCTGGCAACCCCCAGTAAGACTAACCATAAGCATTCACCTCTAGCATTATGGTCTATGTATGTCAGGATAAAAATGCTGTGTGCTAAACAAGTTTTTATTACACAAATAATATTCCTCCACTTCGCCCATTAGTTCTCTGAAAATTACCTGAATAAAAGTTGATGAAAATATTAATAGGCCGATACTCGGACGAGCTTATGGATGCACTCACCA